ATTATAACTTTTTTCGGCCATCTAGTAGGGAGCCGTCCCACTGAACGCCTTCCGGTTCGTGGCCTCCCCCTACTAGATCTCACGCAGCAGGTAACCGATGGATGCACTTCGGTCCGATCGACTAGTCTGGAAATCTTTGGGGGAGGTTTACGTTCAGCAGTGGGCGTTTTCCGGCTGATATGATGATGATACTCGCTTTTGCTGTCTTCATCTACCATTCTCGTCAAAACGTTGTTGTACAGTGGTGACTTCTCATCTATCTGCCATTTTCACCACCAGATTAGGTCTAGGTCGCCATAACGTTTTATTTTCATTGGAATTGCACCTAAATGTGCCAAGTTTAATTGAAAAGTAGGTAAAATTCTGTAAACAGGATCATCCCCCAATTGGCCACCCTTAGAGGTGGAATATTTTCTTCAAATTTGAATAGTACGAATACCATTCTTTCCGAAAAAAACATTGACTTACAATTATATGGACGTCGGGTCCGCGCTAAAAAGTGTCCGCACTCGTAAGGCGCTAAAATCGTATACAGAGCGCGACACTCCTCTTTAGTCTTCATTTGTTCTACGGACAGCGCGATACTGCGATGACATAACAATTTAAATTTGGAATAGGTTGACTTGAGACATTTTTTTCGTGGTTTTTGTATTAGATCCGTCGTCCATTTATTTGTAAGTCAATGGAAAAAAAAATCAAAATCGGTTTTCGGAGTACACGCGTAACAAACACACGAAAAAATGCAGTCGAATTGAGAGCCTTCACTCTTTGTTGAAATATATTAAAAATTACTACATAATATGTCAAATACATGATTACAATTTACAATTCTAAAGTTCCTATTCAATTAACTGTTGTGAATTTAAAATCTCCACCTAAATATAAAACTGTCTATCCATCTATATGTACGAGTATATGCGTTACGTATTCAAATGTTATCATTTATCACCATTCTTATCAGTGGAGTATCTTTTAGTAACTCTCGAGTGTTTATCGCGAACACTTGTCTTTGA